AACTGAACTCTAGCAGCTAAGACTAACTGAAACTGGATGACCGACACTTCGAAGATTGGGTTACTCTGAAGCAATGCAACAATGTGATAGAAAAAGGAATATTCCAGCGACAATTAGACAGTGCATCTCAGCAGCCCACATCCGACGAAATATGCATCCTACCTACCATTTTAAAAGAAAAAAATCCAGAATAAAGAAGCTCCGACAAGATTACGGTCGCAATCCGGACACAAGATACACAGATGCAGTGAAATATCCAGGAATCCCAGCCCATGCCGTCAGCGTCCTACGAAATATGCATCCTACCTATCATCTCGAAAGAAGAAAATCCAGAATAAAGAACGAGTGATGGCAAAGAGAGAATGGCAGCTAGCATCCCAACTACAGAAATCGATACGGCAGATCAAACAGCGATAGCGCTAGCAGTCTCAACCTGTGCTGACACAGCAAAAATACTAAACGATTCGCCAGCAGCTTGTCGAAATTTTCAGAAAGAGAAAATTTTCAAGCAAACCTTCAAAATTCTTGCCACTGCAGCAAAGCCAATCTACTTGAATTGTACATCCCTGGGACTCCAGGTCAAAAGCCCCTGATGGGAAGGAAATGAGGCATGCCGCCGATGCTTTCGCCCGAGCTCATGTTCACCGGGCCATCCCACAGGACGCGCCAGGGAGGAAAGAAGATGTACTAAGAAAGTACAAGGATATACTGCAGCACCACTGGCTAAACAGAAGAACTTATCCGCCATCTCACCCCAACCTGACCTGGGACGAGGCAGTAACTTTCAGGAAGCTGCAAACTAACACCTACGTTCACGGTACATTGTTTCATTGCATCTCACCAACTGAGTACTTGTACACCTACAAGTACTGTGATGTTCCGAAAACCCTATTCCATATGGGATGGGGATGCAGGCAAAGCCCTCAAACCATTACACTAACCAAAGAACCGAAGAGCAGTGGGAGGCCAAGTTATCAGACCCAGGCCTGAAAGTCAGCGCAGCCTAGTTCAATGGGCGGGGCAGATGGCAAAGACTCGTGGCTACCTGGAATAAGGAGGCCGCCCCTTGGGGGCATAATGCGCTGGCTCAAATAAAAGTTTATTCTCTCTCTCAATATTATTATAATTTGCATACACAAATGCACAAGTGAAAAAAGAGGTACCCAGGTTTTTTTTTTATTTTGCTAGTGTATTTATACATGCACACATACATACACACGCATGACCATACATTGTGTATAGTTGTGTATAGTTGTATATTGTGTATGCTCACCAGAGAAGGGGTAATGTTGGGGGTGGGGGCGAAAATTTCCGTGATTAATAAAAAGCCTTTATCAATTAATCAAGGTGCTGAGATCGATTATGATTGACGGTGCACCTTCGGTTGATTAATCGTTCATCGATATTGCCATCCCTATACAGGCATCCATTCACGCAACACACTACTTTCTTCAATTCATTTTTGCCTCATATCACAGGAGCGGAACAGCCTTGATTGATTGATATGTGGGGTTTAACGTCCCAAAACCACTATATGATTATGAGAGACGCCGTAGTGGAGGGCTCCGGAAATTTAGACCACCTGGGGTTCCTTAACGTGCACCCAAATCTGAGCACACGGGCCTAAAGCGGAACAGCCTTCCAGAGGCCATAGTTGCTATTAGTGATAACCACTTGCTCTGTGATGCATCAGCTAACATTGTATTATAAGAGATCTGCTTGTTCACTGCTTTTTGTCCAGTTACCTTTTATTGCAATAACCCACCTCCCCCTGCCATGTCATGCGGCCCTGAAGGTAAAATAAATAAATCAATAAATATGATATATATCTGGCATTCCACCCTGAACATCATCCATCTAGTTCACTATGAAGATACAATGATCTGACAGTGCTGTACTGGTTGCTGTATGAAAGAGCACACGCCGAAGTCCTTGGAAATTTGCAGCAGAAAAGGCCTGGAGGAAGAGTGCCCTTTGTTCCTCAGCCCCCCGGCTGGCGGCGGTGTCCTTGAGCGGTCGTGCCTCACAGGATGACACCAGCTCACCGGCCTACTTCCCCCACCAGCCAACAACAGGCAAGTCGGGGATTCTTGCGTGAGAATTTGCACTCCTCCGGGGTGCGCGACCTTGCAGTCAAGGAGGCCCTTTTTCGACGCCCCAATACACGCCTTCTCGTCGGTCGCGCTCACGATGGCAGCGCCTGCCGGGCCCAAACTGTGGCTTTCCGCTGCACCCTAACTTCACCCCCTCGTCATCTCTGCGAGGGCGACCGTCTTGCCAGTGAAGGGGCCCATGTCGCCTCTTCCGTTAAAGGTAACTACTGCCGCGGCTGAGCTGGTGTAATAGTGCGCCGAAATGTGCGCGAAAACGTTTTATTTTTGTTTTCTGCTGCGTTTATGACATTAAAAATGGGGCCACGCAACGTACTATACAGATTAGTACAATTTCTGTATTAACGAGTGACGAAGAAAGGTCCCTCGCAGAGCGACCGCTCAGAAGCAGCAATCCCCTTTTAATCAAAGGCTCTCGTGATCGCAGTGCCCAAATCACCAGGCGCACAGCTCTCGCGGCAAGGCCCCATCGCCTGACCTAAAGCCCCTAGATTTCTCCCGTTTATCCATGTCCTCTTTACCCTGCCCTCTCTCACATGCAGCCGGCGCCTGGCGCCATTTTCTTCCGAACTTGAAACGCATCTTTCAGCGGACTCTACACGCCTTTCTCCTCCGGTCAGTGCTCCGTCATTAGTCACCAGATGCTGGCAAAGCATTAGAAAGAACATGGCTGCTGAAAACGAGCGTTAGCCAATGAGAATCGTCGATTGCGCTTCAATGGTTCTCAGTACTTACGAACAGAGAAAAAGCTAGCGGTCTGACCTATCTCGGCAAAGCACAAGGGCGTGTGACAAAAGAAGAAGTCATGAAATTCGCCGAGGCGACGCATAGCTAATGGGGCATTTTTGAGCGCAAAAGCCACTCACAAGAACGAGATAGGGCGGACGGGCGCTACTTTCATATAACTTTATGCCCGCAACTGCAGTAGATACATGGGTGAAGGGAGAAAGTGAATATTTTGATGTGAAAACGTCTTTGAAAATGCACAATTGACTTTTCGTGCTAGGTTTATCCTAAGCTGACGAGGCTTAGGGTAAACTAAGCGCCCTGTCTCCAGCGAATGCCGTGGTCTCCAAGAAGCAGCACACGTGTGTTGTACACTTTGGAGAATCCTCGAAGCGCACGACAACGCGGTTGCTGCCAGCGCGCTGGCCACACCCGCGATGCTTTCCCCTTCACGTCGATGCGACCGCGCGGAGAGACGGGGCGCGGGGAGGCCGTTCACACAGCGAGGAGGACCGCGTGACCTGGCCGCCCCAGCAGAGAGGAGGAGGAGGGCACGCACCTTTTGTGCGACCCGCTTCCCTCTCTCCACTGTAGTACAGCATCGGTGAGACACGCGTGACCCGAGCGCTGCTGCTCCTGCTCGTACCGCGGTTCACACTCGGGAGGCCAGGACGCCGTAATGTCCGTGCTCCTTCACGTACCGAAATTACCGACCAGGAACCGAACGAGCGACCCGCTGATCGGCGTAACGGTGCTGGGCACGACCTGGTTTCACTGTGCACACCACAGTTCCTGTGGTCCCGATACGCATAACTACCCAATCATCAGGACTCAATGCGCAGTTGGACCGACAGTTGACCGCCAGCTCACGAGGGCTCCGAATCGGCGACGTCCCGTTTTCATGCCGTGCCACGGCGATAAAAAATTAAGGAAACGTATTTGTCGCCTTTCACCGGAAACGAGTTAAGCGTCTGAATGCGATAAACTGAGAGATACGGCGGTCACGTTCATGGCTAGATGAACAAATTTCAAAGAGCAGTGTGCGCACGTACAGAGGACTAAATACGAGAGCTTTGTGATTGCTGAGTGCCTCGTTCAGGCTGCAGTGATTATAAGCGCAATTGAGTTGCTTCATAGCAACATAACCGACAGCCCTGGCGAGATCAATCGTGCGGTGAATCTCCAGACCTCTGTGATACGACTGCAGCAGCATGATGCCGTGCACACAAAGTATAGCAAAATGCCGATGCACGTCAATGACGTATGCTAAGCCATGTAATAAACTACTGTGACCTTATAAAGCTTTATACGTACACGCAAAAAAGTACAGAGAACACAACAAAGATGACGTCGTATGCAGTCGTGTACAAAAACATACTGCGTGCACATGATGCAAATGACTTGCTACACTGCCTGCAAGGAACTTGTTTTCATACGTTTGCACAAGGTTCCAGTATGGCAGGACCAGTAGTAGTATGCACTCCCGCGTATCGCTTTTTCACACAACTCACTTTGCTTGAAAGGCAAAGCTAATAGAAAAATAGCTCAGTGAGTTGTGTGAATGATTTTCATAGTAATGCTCTGAAAGTAACAAGACAGTTTATTGAACGACACCCCTTTGTGTTTGCCTGCTGCAAGACACACGTGTGCCATCAAATATGGCTCCATTCTCTTTTGACAACATTGCGGCTCCAATAATTGCCCGACACCTTTTCGCTCATGCATCTGTGGTGAGAGCGACAACCCGGTGCACAGCACGTCTTGGGCATCGTCATTCAGGCTGACCAGCCGTGTCTTTGCATTCAATGCTCGTAATCGCCAGTCGTATACATGCAGAAAAAACGAGCAAAACTGAACGCCCAGCTGACGCAGCGCTCACCTCAACGCCCCCTGCTGGGGTTCTTCGCCGCCGCGCAGCCACTGCGGCGACATAGCAAGCCTTCTCTAAAGCATTACTGAAAAAGCACCGACGTTCAAAGTCAGCCGGTAACCACGAGGTGCCACCGTGACAGATGTGCATTTTCTACATGAGCCATTCTTTGCTCGGCAGTTATAATGTCAACGCCAAGACTATAATGCCAAACTGTGCTTTTCGAAGGTCCCTTTCGAAGGCACCGGCGGAGTTAAGATAGGTGCGCAACACAAGCGACAGCGGTGACTCACCTGTGTGTAGCACCAGCTCTCGGCCACGGGCGTGTTGGCTTCGCTCTGCGGAGGCGGAGTGGGCAGGCGGGGAATGGCCATGCTGCTGGACGACTCCGGCAGCACCTCACCGCGCGCAGCTGCAACGAAGAACGAACGCCAGGTCAGCGCACTTCGCCAGACGCGGCATCTCGAAACGCACGCGGGGTGCCCTCCTCGGAAAGGAAGGCGACCCAGTTTCCCTTCCAAAAGGAATCAAGGGACGACACAAAAGGCCGTCATCCCGCGCCTATCGCTGGCCCCGTGTGCGGCCACACACTTCCCCTGAAGCTATCTTCTCTGCGCGAGCGTGACCTACATTTTGTGGAGGCTGCCAGGAACGGGAAAAGAAACGCGGGCCCTTCCAAGGTGAACTTTTAGCCCCTCCTTATAAGTCGGTCCGGCAGATTTGCGTTCGAACTTCACACGCCACTTTTCGAAGCGACACGAGAGGCGGGAACAGGGGCGTAACTAGGGGAGCATAGAGGGGGGGGGGGGGGTTCCAACACCCCCTGAAATGTGTTCACGCTTTAACATTACGAGTGATACGGAAGTAATTACACATCAACCACAACTTGCCAGAGTTAGCCATTTTACACCCCATGACATCCCCGCAAAAAATTCCCGAGTTCGGCCCTTGACCAGACATAGAAATGTCCCGACAGCGCCTGAGGACACGCGCAACCTTGCTCGGGGAAAAAAAAAAACCCACTGCGGTTCATCACTGCCAGAGCTACGGGGGAGATATTACCTAGCAATTGGCAATGGTGACACATTAGGGCTTGTTAGGATCTGCTGCTGCACATGAATAACTAAGATGGCCAGTCTTCATAGCATTTACGCCGTATTTTTTCTTTAATTGTTGTATCAGTAACCACCGGTAACTGTGGTTATAGATGAATTCCTCCGTACATACTTCACGAAAATGCGGTGGCACTTTCGTCAGGCATTTGGTTTCGCGTGGTAGAGGCAAAAGCCGCAACGCCTACCGCAGCTGCTGCTGTGTTTTCGCTGCACGATGCGTGCGCTGCTTGTCGGCGTGCAAAGAAAAAAAAAAAGGCGGCGTACCGACAAGCTGTCAACGGTTATTTAGAGGGAAGGCACAATAATATGATGGGCTAGGCTTTTTTTTTTCTTCTGTGTTCTATTGGCGAAAACCGTCGCAGATCAGCCGCAACTGTGACACGCGACAACTTGCCTTCGACGCCGCTTTATCGGTTATCTTGTGAGGCAGTTTACCCAGAAAGGGATAACCTCTCTCAGATGTTGGAATAAGCCGTGGAATTACGCATCTTTTTAAATAAGTTGTGGAAGCGTATATATCGAGCGCGTTTACCTCAAAGTACGTTAACGGTCTGGATAGCATTGCCGTGCGAGGCATCTTTCACGATTGTCATGTTGATATAACTGCAAAAGTCTTCGGCACGTCAAAAGGATATCATTGTACTAACGTGAACTAAAAGTGTCACTCGGTCACCGAGCATGTGTTTCTTTCTGCGTGGGTACGTTTCATTCAAGTAGCAGCGAGCAAAAGGGTGGCTTAGACTATGCTTTTTGTGATTATATGCGGCTGTGATGACACACCTGACAAGTTTATCGGGCAGGGCCATTCTGGCTGTGGTGCACGTCACGAGATTTTCACGTCTGTGTGAAGTCGCACAAAAACATCACTTGTGACACTTGCCGAGTCTGTCCTTACGCAGTTGGCGGCGTCGGCTTCAGCGTACGAATGGAGCCGCGGACCTTACAGGTAGGTAACCGTATTGTCCACAGCAAGTTGTTGAAGCCTTATCGCAAGCATATTGCGGATGAACGTGTCGCCGAGATCGGCCTTGTCGCATGGATGAATAAGTTCTCCGGAACATTTCATATATGCGAGGATTTATCGTAACGATTCGTGGCCACGTATTTTTCCAACGCGCATATTGTACCCTAGGACCTCTTGCGGAACTGTTATGTTCTTGCATTAGTACTAATTAAAATGTTCACTTGTGACGTACGCTGCAGCAACGGCGATGACATGTCGTAAATGAGCTACATTTAGGTTCTCGAAGCTAGAGCTACACGTCAACATGGATCATATGTTCATTTCATAACCCCTGTACAGCCACTGCAACTTCCTCTGTTGCAGCCGCCGCTTGTAAACACGCGAGAGGCGTCCCGGCGCGCTGTTCTCGAAGGCAGCTTGTGCACCTGCTGCGAGCTTTTAGCTGGGACTGGGCGGAGCCAACGCGCCGTGACGTCACTCGGCGCCTACCGTGTTTACAAACATGAAGTTGACCGCCCGTTTCAATCCAAACTTTCTCTTGACGCTCAGCCAGTGTGCTCACAGAAACAAAATGCAAGGTGTAATTAGCTATCTCTCTGTGATCAGCACAAAGTATGAAGTGGGCTCTTTTGCTTTGGCGAGATAAGCTGTTTATTTAATCACGCCTTCTAAATCTAACGCACCGAGAACTAGACAGCGGTTCACGGAAACAGCGCAGTTTAGCCACTAATTACACTGCTGCCGAAGCTTCAATACATAAATATAAAGCAAATACAAGCGTTAGTCAGGAACTTACGGGTCATAGAACGCAACACGACGACGACGTGATAAACTCAATAGTAAGTGGAGGGCACCAGGGTCAATAGTTCAGCAATTTTTTTTTTTTTTTCAGCGCTGCCGTGAGCGCGCAGACGGTCAGTACAAGACGCGACGCGGATGAATGCATGTGGTGTGCTTCTGAGACAGAGCACGGAAGCATTTTGCGAAAGGCGATACATTCGCGAATGAATGAATCCTACGAGAACACACCGCTTCGGGAGGAGCCAGACGAGCGGCACCGCGTTCAAGCAGCGCTACAGGCACAGAGAAAACACGACCGGAAGAACCCGCCGACTGCTCCAGATTTCACACGCACGTACGGGCCACCAAACTCGTGCACTTACCACACGCAGCAGTTGAGACGAACACGGCACCGTCATTGCACGCAACCGAAAACACTGTTTTTTTTTTTTCTCGCCAGGGATGAGATGTGAGCTAAAGCGCTTGAACTGATTAGTTCACTCGCGACGCTAGCAAGAAGCGGCTGATGAACAGACTTATGGATGCACTGGCTTCGGGCGCCAAACCACATTCGGGTGTGCTCGTTCCAGCTAGACCAGGGGAATTTCGGCATACGAGCACCAACGAGAAGGGAGAGAAACTAGCGCAAGCTTGCAGGGAAAGCCGAATAAATGTCCACGTCAGCCATCAGTGTCCTTTTGTTGCCGAAAACGACGTCCTGCACGGTTCACACCAGCAAGCGCGCACAGAAACAATCGTCCGGGCGAGAGAGGGGCCTCGGGCAAGGGACCGACCGTGGCGGCCGGGGTCAAGGCCGGCCCGCATCGAACCGCTCGCAGGAGGCCCCAGCCCGGCTGCGGGGGGCGCCATCTGTCGCGACATGTTTAGACGACGGGGCACACTCCTCCGCGTCGTGGGAATCTCGCTCACGGCTGTGGCACTTGTATTTTGACGCCACACGAGGCACAGTGAAGACGCACGGAAAGAGTTGTGCGCCACCCTTTCCGGCGACGGTCAACCGCAGGCCGGCCGCTTTGTCTGCGATGTGTGTGCAGTGCACAGAGCGTCACTCACACGAGAGGACAGGCGACGCGGGTTGGCTAATCCTTTAAACGATATCTTATACGGGCCGAGACGGGGGGGATGTATCTGAGGCTATGGAGATGGACCAGGGCTTTGACAAGAGTGTCCTCTGCTGTTTATGTAGCTAGAAGAATAACAGGGACCAAATGCCTTTCTTTTACCACACAGACATTACGGGCACTGATGTTACGCAGGCACCGACAACAATGAACGTGTACAGCGATTGATGGACATCTGCGGTTACGAGGAATATCAGTCGGGTTCAGAAAGTTTATGAACGAAAAATCGCCAGTTCAACGACAATGACGGCAGGATACACCAGAGGTGGCGGATAAACACAAACATATTTGGGTCTGGATAAACATTAGAGAAGAGTAGCTAAGGGAACGGGAGATGTATATGTAACGACTTGAGGAATGCAGATGTTACGAAAAAATGGGGGGCACTCCGGAATGACAAAATCAAAATATGGTTGGAACAATATGGAAAGCTGTGTGCGCCTGAATGGTGTATTGTGCATAAGATTACATATAGGCACACGCAAAGGGGGCAATTAAGAATCGTGGCGCACAGGTAGGAACAATATTTACAGACTAGTTGGTTCATACTTGAAAAACTCGACTCGCTGCGCAAGCTGAAGGGAGACAGAGAGAGCGCAGTTCAAGAGCACATTGGTTTCTTTTCTGTCTCCCTTCTCGTTTCCCTTCAGCTTCCGCAGCAAATAGAGTTTTCAAGCATGGGCAGGCTTTATTCGGGAGCACCATATCAGGGGGCACAGTACAGTCGATGGCAGGGAAGGGGGCAGGACCGGTGGGACGCCAGTTTGGCCTACACGAGACCGATGAAGCGAACCAGAATGATCTGTTGAGAGAAACCCACAGGGGGTTTGCGGAAGACATTGGGTGCTTACGAAACCAGAACTGTAAACGTAAATAACCTTCAAGCAGGAAGCTGCCAAATAAAAGATACTCGATAACTCTCAGCTGCAATTGTAGCCAGGACATCAGCGTTGCGGACTTTCCAAGCTCACAAACACGAAGGGAGAAGGGAAACGACCGGCTCCACCGGGCAGTTCAAATGCAATGGGTGCTGAAAGTTTCGAAACATTGGGATTCAGCGTCAACTGGGGTTGCTTCAATGGTGTTTCCACCGGCACGGCAGTTCACAGGGTCGCAAAACCCTCGGGGACAATGCGCAAGACGGGCGTCGAGTGGTTGTCAGTCTCGCTTTCCAAGTCCAGCAATGTCCATTTCTCATTTGAGAAGAACCCACCATGCAACGCACTCGTTGTAGCAATCAGGAACAAGCGCTGTCCCGCTTCATACGAAATCAAATGCAGCCACTCTGCGGGCATTTCGCGTTGCAAGGTAGAGTTACTGCGACACGAGCTGAATAAACAAAGCCTCCAACAACTTCCACTGAAATAGGCAGCGACTGTCGGACTACCACGCTGATCTCTTGGCCGTCCTG